TTTAAAAAGTCGAAGATTTTAGGATGTTCGCTGCACGCAGCTTTATCGGTGGAGATTCGGGAGGGTTTACTATATTTATGGACTGGTTATGGGTGTCGACGTGGAGAGGTAAACCTAAGGCACAGGTGTCAGTTTGTCATTTGGGAATGAGGCTAGCAACTATTGTGGGTGCGATCACTCTTGAGGCTAATGGCTCGCGTCGTAGAGTAGGGTTAGATTTTTCATGCAGGGTTAACCTTTGCAAAGGTGTTCTATCAGCGACTACTCTCATGGTCTTAAAGGTAGTGTTGGCAACTATTTGCTCAAATCTATTTTTAAATTCGCTGGCAGTTAAAGCACTATAAAAATTGAACAGGATTTGACATGAGTGACGCTGGACTTTCTTTTTGAGTGGTATGCAACTGCAATCCGTGCCAACTATGTTACCTGCTTTAAGTAGAATATGCCGCAAGGCTGCAAACGGAATATTATCCGGGACATTAGAAACAACTGCATTGTTAGAAAGATACAACCTGCAGACTACTTTAGCTTCGATCGAATCAATAAGTATTCCTGTGGGTAACATATGTTCTACTTTTGGACTCACTGTCTTTTGCAGTAAATCAGTTATAAGCTCTAGTGCACGGAGAACAGACAGGGTTATCGATCGACAACATTTTGTCTTTAAGTTGGGTAACTTCGTCTTGGATGTATGGTAAGTTAATAGGCTGAACTGTCAGGGCAGCTGGACATAGTTTTGCTACCGTTGAATTATCAGGTCTCGCTTTTTTAGAAGTTTTCGGAGCTTTGCAAGTCTTAACGGTAACTTTACGCTTTGATAATTTTCACTTACTGACAGGCGAACTAACAGGACATGAGGCTTTATTTTCCATATTGCTTAGGTATTGGCTATAGGCATTCTTCTTCCTTTCTTCTCGTTTTACTCGTGATAACGACAATTGGCTGATTTAGCCCTAAGTTTCAGAGTTTGTAAAACCTAGCTAAGGCTAACGGTCAGCGGACAGTGGACTGGAATTGTCACCGTGTCGGAATCAAAAAGCGATACAAAGCAACCAGATGTTTGTCCTCTTTCTGATAGTAACCTCAAAGCGCACCGGAGTGTTTTTGCACACGTTAACTCTGAGGTCAGCTCTGCGCCGTGCCGCGACGCGCCGATACGTTTGATCATGTGGCCGCACACCTGTTAAACCAGTCAAAGAGTAGGACGATTAACCGGCTTGATAAGTCCCCTCGGAAAGTAGACTTGTGAGATAGGCCAAACGTTCACTGTAGTCGCGAAAGCGGGGGGGAGGGGGTGGAGAGATGTAAGTATTGGTGGCCGCTTTGTATAGCTACCGATTTCTCTGGAATCTTTTTTGACCAATAGGCCACGTAAGGTACTTTCCGACGATTCTATGAGCCTTGTTAGAGGAAGTAAGGGTGTTGACTTTGTGCACTTCTGTTTACGCCGAAATGCTGCAGAAATTGGCACTCAGCGTTAGACGACAACGGTTAAGAATATAGACCAAGATGATTGCGCACTGTGTAGGCCGGACCAAGCCTAATCGAATGACTGTACTCGGGTGAATATTCGATAATATCCAGATACAAGAACGATGAAAATGTAGCAGCGATGAGAATACATCGATAATGGGGCTGGATGAGAGTTTATAATATATATCATGTGACTAATACTACGCGCAATCTAATTCTTGACTGTAATTCGCAGTGAAGTTAGGCTTGACCCTTGACTTGGTAAATAAAATAGTCGCAATTAACGTCCCAATTGGAGAAAACGCGAATGCAAATGGATCTCTTTTCGGTAAATCACATAGGGCAAATAGGATTACAAGGAGATCTTGTATAAGTATAAGATATTGAAAGCGGAAACGAAAGTAAGAGAGTCTGAATTTTGAAAAGCACGGTAAGAAGAAGAAAACTGGTCGGTGCATGCATTTCGTATTGTTTCCTCAGTACCATTAACAATAACCGATATACAACTATATACTTTAATAGGCGTGTGACCGAATAAGTATGAGGTGCAAAATGAATGACAGAAGTTCCACCCCTATGTCCACGGCAGTCTTCAGCTGATAAATATTTGCTTTTATACACACAAGGCCGGCTTCATCCGGCTTATCGCAACGGCCTCGGCGAAACGGAGGAAGCGGGGATTAGGGTGATGTAATATAAGTGTGAACGCTGATCCGAGCTCTATCCGGTGACGCGTAATCAGTAGGTGTTTACCTATTGAGGAAGCTGGCGGCTTGCGCAAGCACGGAACTTCAGTGGGACAGGGATGCTGGTCAATTTCACGTTGAACCAACCTTGGCACGTGTTCCTTTATTCGGGAAGTCAAAGACCTATTGGTTCTACCTATGTAACTGTCTCGGCAGTCGCACACGAATTTGCATATACAGTGTGGATTGGCCCCTATCGGTTGAGCTTCCTTCGTTGGAGGCACCGGCAAGTTACAGGTTCTATTGACGAGCATAACCTGAGCAGCACAGTAACTTCTCTGCTTAGCGGAGATTAAGCACATGCATGCGTCTACCAGATTTCTTCTTCCTACCGTGCTTTTCCAATTGCTGAATGGAACTGACTGTTTTAAGTTTCTCGGACGACTAATTTCCCCCTCAAGCTATCAAATATTTTGAATTTTTTTCGAAGGCTTTTAGATTTGTCGGGCCAAGCGTAAAGCCTGTGTTGTCGGTGAAATCTGACTATATTTGTCCCCTTTTTACACAATTCACTTACCTCTTCGCGTCCCAATGTCCCTTGGCTCCTTTCCTGGCATCTTTACCTGATGACGTCACATAACGTCAACAGGTGTCGTGGAATGTAGTGTTTTCTTTTTGACAATACCCAATTTCCATCTGCTGCAGCGATGATTCGCGGTTAGTCAAGTCTGTATAAACCCCATTGAAAAGCCTCGTTCTCGTCCCATGGCTCGTTGGTGGCACAACGACAAACCCATTGCAGCCCATTAGAAAACCGTACCGCGCAAAGAAATCTAAGTGAGTCAGGTCGGAAATGAACCCAGACCAATTTAAACGAATTTAAATGTGTACCTGGACTGATCGACAGTCATGGAAACAATACAAAAGTCCAGGTCGGTGGGAACTATGGGAAGAAGCCAATCCTGAGCCATGTTGATCCAACCGAGATAGGCCGACCGAACGGCATATAATAGATCAGCCATAATGCAGCACAATGTTGAGTACGTAAGAAGGACCGGCGTAGCGTTAGTATGTACGCTGCGTTACTAACTGCGTGCTTGCGTCCTCAGTTTCTATATTTTAGGTGGTGGGTATGCTATATTGTCGTAGTGTTTTTTTATCTCACGCAAATCTCTACCTGAACTATCTTCTATAAATTTGCATACGTCACTTAAGTTAATGCAGTTAACTTAGATAACCTTTCTGCGGTTGTGGCATTTTCTGACATATTGAAACTTTCGCGGATTTTTCGCTACCAATTTATTTAATACGCTCATTTAGTGAAGTTATTTCACCTTGACTGTACGCAGTACTCGATGTATTTTACTTAATGTCGTCATTTCAAGTGGTTGTCTATTGTTTTATATCCCCGGTGTGGCTGCGCTTGACGTGCATGTTGACAAGGTGCCTACCTGTCTATCAGCCACTACCTCGTCCATGGTTACTCCAGGAGACAGTTGGCCGTCCTGGAGGCGACCGGGTGCACGGCCATTGTCGATGTGCTCAGCTAGGGGAGTGGTTCCATGCACTCAGTGTGGAGCCGACTACGGTATAGCCACCGCAAAGTGTGCGCTTGATTCTTAAATACTGGGTGCTTGTGTTTGCCTGTGAAGGAGTGTGGGCCGGCTACTTTGATGAAACGTGGCTCCCACCCACATGCCTCCCGGTCTTATTCTTTCGGGTTTACACTGGATATGGGGTGTGTGGCTGGAGCTGTGGGTGGTGCAACGCATGTCACCCGTGATCCCTCTTTACTCGCGGGCGTCCTGTGGCAGTCCCGATGTCAGCCGCATTTACAGACAAATCTGGAACCGGATAACGCCAAGCACCCAAACACATATATAAATATAAAAATATATATATCTTTCATATAACAACGTGGCGTTTTATAAATGAACGGCAGTTTCTGCTTAAGGATTTGGGCCCTGCGGATGCAACGTGCTGATTTGTTAAAATGATAATCAAACTACGTCTACATTTTAATGAACGGAACTCAGAAATTTGTATTATGATCAATCCACGTTGCTTCTCTGTAGATCTGCCGCTAGATAGATCCAACTGATATTTTAGTTCAAATTTTATACATTTACAGCTACCGGCTTTCCGTTTCTATTTCATATATATAATGCAGGCCTGTATAGGCGTTTACAGCTATCAATAATTTAACTGGGTTAAAGCGCTTATCTGTCAAAATGAATACGTCATTCGTATGGTTTTGGTAGACATAGAAAGCGTTCAATTCCGCCTGTATTTTCGTTTTTTATGTTCTTCCTATGAAGATTTCCTCTACTAAGTTACTAAACGGAAATCCCATGATCACGCCGTTCTAGTACCATCAGCATTTACCATGAAATATATGTTGGAGTTTCAAGGTTCGGCGCAGTGGTAGGCTATATTTACTGCACTGTAATACTCATGTGATAGTCGCTCCCACCACTCTTCAATTGCCCTAACTGCAACTTCATACCTAGGTTCATTTTTGCACTACTAACCGAAACATGCACACTTTGGCAAAACATTTTCACGTGCCGCGCCTATTGGCCATGAAGTATTTTGTCCATGGATCATGTGATTTGCATCTGGCCAATGTGGTGTGTCTGCTCCTGACGCGCAAGTTGACTTCGTTGCGTTCGATTCGCTGTCTTCTAACCGAAGAATGCAATGTATATGCACGTACGTGCACATTCAATGACTTGACCGGCAAAGTTTCCTTGTCTACATCTTGTGAGTGTCCGTCAGTCTACCATAGGTGACCTGATTTGTCCGTTGTATTCAACGTATTTACACTGGTGATACCTGAGTGTTTGCGTACCGTCAAAGATGTGATATTTCAACTAGCTAAGCAGTACCAGCTGAACTAAAAACACAAGTGAAGCAAGATTTTCTGCTCGAACAAAATGATTGTGCAGTGGATAACCTAATAGCTGTATCCTAAGAATGATCTTCAGCGGTAATATCATAAACTACCGTTATATGGACTAACATGCTATTATAATACAAATATCGGATACTCAGTCATGACACAAATGAGTCATGTCCCAAGCTGAAAGAAAGGATGAAGAGGGCGATATTTCTTCAACTGCTGATATAACAGAGCCAAGTGTGTGCGAAATAGAGTCAATGGCTCCTTTATCCACCAGTGATACGCGTTACCAACAAACTCCCAAAATGATGCCATCTTCTGATTCTGATTCAGTCATTGAGGAATTCACTCAAAGTCCTCACGCTACATTTCAATTAGGCTTACCAGAGATACTTCTCACCCCGGACAAAACGGAATCCCATGTAGATGATAAACCGGATCATTCACCCGTCGAAGAGTTTCTAAATTCACGTGCATCTTATAATTCTCTTTTACACTGGAGACACAATATACCCAAAGACAAAGTTGGTAAGTGTGTTAGCGCAATTTCATTACCGGTTGCTAAGGTAATTCCAATTTTTCTCGAAGTCAGACGCATATATTCATATATGTACCATAATGTTTAATCGACGTATAGCTAGCGATAAAAATTCCAACAGATTAAACCTGGGTTAACTAGTTTTCGGGTACCTGGTTTACGAAATAGGGAAATGAGGGCTAAATCCAAAAATTAGTCTTGTATGTTTACATTACGGGCTTCCATATTAAGTATAGAAAATCAGAAACATTTTGTTTATACTCTTATTTTTATTTTAAGCGTCATCCCAGTTCTCGTATTGAAAACACTTGTCCTTTCTTATCTGTTTAGGGACAGTGCAATTAACATACGTTATTCATTAGTTTGTTTGCATTTTTGTCATTTAAAATGAAAGAACTAGGACATATTATGATGGCAGTGTTGCAGTGACAGACCTATGAGCTTTTTTGCAATATGAGTTAGTTTGTATGGTCTTTATTTAGAAGAGAATAGTGTCGCAATTACTAGGCTCGAGTTGCGTATATGTAGACTTATTAATCCTCATGAGACTAACCAGGTAGCACAAATATTTGTTTCCACAAAAGTGTCAATTGAAGCAACGACTGAAACAAGTAACCTACATATCTGCATGGATGAGATATTAACATTGCATGCACGGTTGATGAACTCTCACACAAAGCTGTGGTAAAGGGTGCCATGCGCAACAATATTACGTATTACAAACGAACCTGTGGATAGAAATTTGAATATTTATTGTAAATAAATAAACTAGCTGATAGTATGTGTTACCTGATTGCTCGCATTAAAATATTCTAACTTCGGATACTATTCGCTATATGCAGTGTTCAATGGGTTAGCATCAATCATTTTTATATGGAAAAGTACTGACTCACAGAAATAGGTAATGTTGCCGTTAAGACAGTACTGACCATCCCGTAGAAAAATTAGATAATAGATTTAGTATCAGAATGTTGACAAAATATGACTAATGCAGTATGGTACTAAACGTTTGCACATTTCATTTTTAATCCTTTTCTTAACAGTGCCGTTGCATCTGTTGCTATTCGATTGCACTTTGGCTAAAAGTTACCTACTTGCTGTATTAAATTACTTACGCTTCTGGTTGGGAAAAAGCGGAACTTTTTCCCAATGAAGCACTTTCCTTCGCACTAAAGAAAGAGCTATTTTAAGTACACAGTGCAGTGCAGTGCGATCTTGAGCCTCACAAAGTTAGTACAAACCAGATAAATGCCCCTTATGTTCCACCAGTATTTATGCGTGCTTTTTCCATAAAATAGGGGACGGAAAGTTCATAGGCGGTTTATATTTGCTTATTTCCCCAAAATTACTACCTGTTTCCTAGATTATTTTTGCACCAATAGCTACAGTAATAACTCCGTACAATATAATGTGGTGAAAGTGTTTTCCGCTCAAGAGAGAGCCATGTTATTCCGAACGTATCCATTACTAGCGAAATTGATTACATTGATAACATTTTATACCACTCTGTTATGGGGCTGTCATAGACTGTCCACAGTATGCTTGCATGTTGTTGGAAACTATATCACTGCTTCACCGTTGATATTTTGCTTCCGGTGTTCCAGTTTACCCAGTAAATCTCATTGTGTTCTGTATCCACAAATGCTAGCGCACAAAGGGGATTGCGTTTCACAAATTGGAACTCGTGGTTCTGATTAAATTATTTATATTAGTATACAACCATGGCTTTAAATGAGTATTGCATGGATCCAACGTCGAGATATGTCTGCATGGAACTACCGATATTATTTGCAGGAATTTAGTTGTAAAGTGTGTGCGTACATAATTTTCATTCCAGAGAATTAGCTTTTAATAAGGATTGAGTGCTACTATAATATAAAGACCAATTTTGATTAGGACTTACCAAAGTGTACAAATTCATTGTTCTTGTTCACCTATTTTTCAACAGAAAATGGATTTCACGCTAAAATAGTAACCAGACACAACGCCAGCAGCTGAAAATGTTGTCTTTCAGCAATGATTCTCAGGACAGTGATAAACATCCTTCAAAAAGTTCTTCGTAAGGTACTACATTTTGATAATTCAAATAATTTGATAAAGCGTATTCATCGTGAAACAATTATTCTATAAGCAAAGTGAGATGACAAAGCTCGTAGATGCATGTATTTCGTATTCTCGCTTCAGTGCAGACAAAGTTAACAGAGTAGGCAACACAACTGTTTATTGGCGCTAGTGTGCATACAAACGAAGGAGAAATAAATATTGACTGCTTATGTCCAAGATAACCAGACGCTGGACGGAAGCAGCTCAGAAACACAAAGGTCTATTTTAATGAGACTTACTTTAACAGCGTCCACGAAGCGGGGGAACAGGAAACTGGGATGCCGCAGCATAAATTTTTATGACATGCTTATTTTGATCCAGTGACCTAAGCTCAATAATTGCTTGTCACGCTAGGAATGCGTGTTGCTGCGTTTCGTGTTGGACCCACTTTGGAACGTGCTCCTTCATTCTGCTTATTTGGTCAGCTCGGCGATAAAATTCACAATGTGTGCTGACCCATTAGACTAAACTCACTTCAGTGGATGCAGAGGCAACTTGTGTGTTTGGTCGATACAGTTGACTTTGACGGCCCATCATCATCATCATACACGTTAGCTAGAGGTGGGGAGCACCTCAGCTACTGTGCCACAATACACAGAAGAAAAGGAGAAAAAAAGCAGCTGGTGCAAGCCGGCTGAGCTACGTGTAACGGCTGGGCATCATTCTGGTAAGCTACCAGCCGGCTACTGTGCACCATAATAAATTACAATGCAAAATTAAATAAGGCTAAATAATGAGATCGTGGTTGGAGGGGGAGGCTAAGAGTAATGGATTAGTGCAGAGAAACTCACAGCACGAACGCCACTGACGTCGGCTCCTAACCATAACATCAAGTGTGTCCAACCAAACGTGTTCATCGTTTTTCGGGCCCCAACCAGGGAGCCGAGACGCTCCAACCGAGGACAGTTCAGAAGTGAGGACATTCATTCCTCTGGACCAAGTCATCGATTGGCCACCCCTCTTCCTCCATCCACACCTCCGGCGCGCAAACAACGCACGTCGCGGGAGTCGGTGGGCTGGCATACGTAACACGTGGCCGAGCCATCGGAGCCTGGTGCGTGAAATGACGGTGCTGAACGGTTCATTTCCTTTTCTTGTTCCGTAAACAAGGCATCGAACACGCTCGTTGCTCACGCGATGTTCCCACCAGATGTGAGCTAAATTACGAAGGCACCGGTGGTCAATCGTAACTAGCCTCTTCAGGTCCGCTGTTTTAAGCGGGCAGGTTTCACAACCGTACAGTAGGATTGAACGTACCGCTGCATTGTTCACTCTACCCTTCAAAGCAAGAGTGAAGTCGCGCCGGGGCCATAAGTGGCGAAGGTTAGCAAATGCGCCCCGAGCTTTTGCTATACGATTCGTGATCTCATCCTCAATCCCATGGGCGCTGATATAACTTCCCAGGTAGTTGAACTTTTGAACGACTTCAAGCTGATCCCCACCAACGGTCAGCTTAGCCCAGAAGCTTTCAGTGCGAAAGCGGTTAGTTTCCTCATTGTCCTTAGTGCGGCAATTTTCCTCTAGAACGGGATCTCCGAGAATAAGTTCTTTTTGCCACTGTGGGCAATAATGCTTTCGTCCGACTGATTTGACTGTGCTTCTCGATAAACCTACGAGGTAAGCCGATTGCAATTTGTGCGCTGGTAACAAGTTCCAGTTCGTCGGCCAGACAATTGATCGAAGATAATCGCCTAGCACATGTAACTAGGGTCTGCGTCAGCATCCCCTTTTGTCACCTCAATGTGAAGTTGTTATAATTCAGGTATTGGCCAGGCAACTTAGGCTTTTCTTTTGACAGTGAATAAAGAGTGTACATTAGGAAGCATTCACGAAGTAACCTCAGTTTGCGCAATATGAAGACGCATCATCAGCTGTGTGATCTGCCATTCTGATAAAAAATTTGATAGATTGTCATCCGTAGGTAGTAGATAATATGACACGTGACCTACTTACTCCTATGATGTATAGAACTATGTAGGTAACTAAAGTTTATTTAACTAGGCCGAATCGCTAAGAATTGAGTACCAGGAGAAAACATTTCAAATAGGGCCGAAACACGAGATGGCTCAACAAGCATGCCAAGTTCGGTAGGAATTTATAGCTCTGAGATAACCAAATCGAGGTGAACAAATAATTCAAATTACGTTGGGGTTTATCATTTTCCGTATCCAGCGCTTTTGCAATAAATTAGATAATACTGGAGCTTTGTGTTCCAAGTCAAATATCGGTCAGCTTCAGGTTACCTTGGACGATGGGACTTGATTATGGTTCAGCTTCCCTTGGTTTGGAAATTATCATTACCTGACATTTGTATTTTATTCCCAATTATCGTTTTCGGCACTAAGGTGAGCATAGGAAACTCACGCATCTAGTGAACTGTTTCTTTCCAATGTGAAGAACAAATTACTTTAACTTCTTATATGATTTATAACTAATATTCATAATATTGTCTATACCTCATACAAGTCAACTGCACATACCTTAAACACAAGTTAGATATGAATATTCTGTTTCCATCCAATATAATTTTCTTATTCATAGTGTATATACCACAATTAAAACTATCGCATTCATGTCCAACAGAGAGTTATCGCAATTTGCAGTTTCACAACCATCACGGTAGTTTAGTTAAACGTGTTTATTTACAAAAGTATGATGTGTAGCAGTTTCTTGCTCACAAACCAGACAGTCTTCATCACTAGTTAGCTTTCTGCAATAATGCATGTTTATATTCTTGTTGGTAGGGTATGTTATTAAATGTCAAGTATCGCACATGCGTACGCGCTTGTTTCCATTTAAAACAAAGCGCCTGTTGTTTCATTGTACGCATTAGAATATACAGGCGGAGCCAGTCCGAAGTAATCATAGCTATTAAGTAAATGTTTAA